GAAATGCTCGCTGCCCCCCTGCAAAGTTGAAATCGTCATGTCCTCTTAGCAACAGAGGTCCACACACACACACACGTAACTTACATCAAGCCGGCATTGCGGTGGTTCCATCATTTCCGGGCCCTAGGATCTAGTAGTGTAAAGTCTAGGTCTAGCATGCAGGGATAACGGTTCGGGGACCCGAAGCATGAAACCCATCGGCCTTTATCGACCATTCTCGGAGCACATGGGAAACATGTATAAGGGACATTGTATAAGGCATCTTAGCCGGGACAGTGCTAGGAAGCACTTGTCGGCAGAGCCAGGCGGCTCCAGGAGGGTGGCTCACCTTTGCCGGTTTCACGGCTCAGCGAAATGCGCCTCGGTCACGGCATTGATGCATGTTTTCGATACAAATGTTACGCGCATTTTTTGCAACAGCAGGAACCCTGATGATGTGGCTTTGATCTCGGAGCTTGTTGGTATCCTTCACACCATGGTCAAGTGCGGAGACCTCGAGATCAGCAATCAAGCAATGAATGATATTCATGCCGAGAACGGCATGGATGTCTTCGAGATGCTGTTGGAGGTTCATGGCATGAACATGTTACGTGCATTCCTCGTGAGACGCAGGCGGACTTGGCAGAAAGAGCTGCTTCACGTTTCTTGACAGTTTTGCAGCCAAGGTTGCGGCTTCGAGTGCGAATCCAGATCCTCTTTTTTTGGCAATCTCGTACGAGTGCGTGTACGTCTTCGTGCAGAGTGACATCATGAGACCCCGTGTGCTCAGCAAAGTCATCAGTCGCCTCAGAGAGACAGCCATTCTGCTTCCATACATCCGTGGTCCGTACATAAAAGATGTGCCGAATGAGAAGTACATGCAGCTTTGGTGCAAATGCGAACTGAAGTATGGAATGAAGAACGACGCTCGTGAGCGACTGGAGAAGAGATATACAAGCCTGGACCCGGACGAGCACAGCCTGTGGCGCGAACTGGTTCCTGAGATCCGAGAGCTTCAGCCTCCCGTCGATGGAAAGTTGTCAGCGAGTTCGCTTTCTCAAGTCTCTCTCTCTCTCTCTCTCTGCGCTCTCTGTCGATTCCTCTGCTGGCTTCGCATCATGTTGCAGCCAAAGTATGTGCATGGCTAGGAACACCATGATGCATCGAACACTTCTGGGCATCGTGAAAATCATCCAGCTCTTCAGCGACCTCGCACGGCGTGATGACAGTCCCCCGAGCCTCAAGATGGTGACGGACAGCGCGGGGGTTTGTCGGAGGTTTCAGGGGTTCCCTAAAACCAATTACGCAAGCAGGTACCGATTTACAAAGAGGGGCTCCCCAATTGCCAAGCATCAGAGGATCTCCTGAATGCCAACGATCGAGAGCGGCTTCTAATCGGGCCGACCACCGGTCTGGTGACGTGTCCGGACTTCGACGTCAGGCTGGTAAGAAGCTGATGTGCCGTGCTTTTGTCTGCATCGCCCCTACAGCCACCCGGACCTACTCACCCCCCTGCGGAAGAAAGATCTGTCTTCCAACACTCCAACCACAAAGCAAAGGGATGGGCATTGTAAGAGGATTCAGCGTGAGTGCCACATCACTGTGCGTGGACGATGGCAGCCGCAGAGCAGATTCAGTGCAGACATCTCAGACATCTCGTCAATAGCAGGAGCACTGGAAGTGTCTTGTCGTGAGCCAGGAAGAGCTTCCAATGCCAGCCAGAAGGCTACAATCACGCATCCCCTCGAATCACAGCTCCTCCAAAATGCAGAAGTTTCTAGCATACAGAGCTAGTTTCGTACGGCCCCTGGCTCAGTGATGATTTCGTTGCTCGCTTTCTGTCCTTAGACCTTGCCCCTGCAGGGTGGAGAGTTTGATTTGCATCCGACATGTGTTGGAAGCCACGCCAGACCAGTTTGACCTGGAAGAGATGGGATGGCTGCTGAACTATCTCACATCTGTGGGCATGGGCATCGGCAAGCAAGGCCAATTCTTGACGGAGGTGATCGACCTTATCAAGATGTTCGTCAGAAACAATTCTCGAACCGGCCAGAGCTTCCGGAACAAGTTTGCCAAATACGCGATTCGGGAATGCTTCGAGATGCTCACGGTGAATAGCCGGAGGGAGACGCATGGCAACAAGGAGGAGGCGAAAGCCAAGGCTGACCTCACCGCGAAGATCATCGAGCTCCTGAAGGACTGCTCAAGGCCCGCAGCCTGTCAGCTGTAGCTACTCGCTGCTGCGCCTTGCTCCGCCTTGTCTCAGGCCTTTGTCAGGTGGCTTGCGGAAATTTCTGCGGCGGGTTGATCTGCTACAGTCCATTCGAGAGGCGGGCTGTCGTCTTCTGACCAACTAGTGCAGACTTTGAAAGTGAGCTCCTTGGGAGGTTTTGCAGCAGGAGGAGCGCACCAGTTCGAATCCTGCAACGCAGATTCTGGACATTTGGACCGGCAGGGACATCCGTCAGGTCCAACCGCCTAGAGCGCGTTGCCATCCAAACAATGGAGGCTGTGCAGCTTGTGCTGACCAGGTGCTTCTGCCAATTGTGACAAGTCCTGCCTTCGACGTGCATGGCCCTGTGGTTCATGCTGCATTGATGCGGCTCGCAGACGTCTTGCAGGCCTGCAACTGGACTGTGGTTGACTTCCGAGCGATAGGTATGTGTCACGGTGACAGGGGAAACCAGACTACATGCACTCCGACATACTGAAGGACAGGGGTACGACTTAGTTCAACAGCTCACCAGGAATCACAACCAGCCAGACGGACACAGGATGTGCCGCCAACGGACGAAGCAGGACCCTGGCCGGGCCTGACGATGCTCTACAGGCAGGGGGGTGGCCTGAGCCAAGTTCTCGAGATCCGAGAAAACTCGTCGACTTCCCTTTAGTTTTGTGCTCGCTTAAGGCTCCTAGACTACCGGGATGCGATCGAGAACGAGGATAGTGGCTACCAGCAGGAGTACTTCATGAACAGCCGCGGCTTGGACCCCCTGTTCGGGACCCGGATTTGGCTTTCAGTGGCAGCACTCGTTCCGTCGGTACTTGCGAGGTTAGACTTTGCCCACCGATTCTTCGCAGCCAACGAAGATCTCAACATTCTTCTGAACAGGGTTCAGGATGATGCGGTTGTGGAGTAATTTTGTCGGAACCGCATGTGTTCCCGCAAAAATTTGAGTCTACAAATCTCCGCCAGTTGGCTGTGCAGGAAAAGCTCGCACAGGAGCTCGGTGAGAAAGAGAGGACCGGTCGCAGATTTCGGAGCCCACGGCGTTTTTGCGCGCGCACACGCATGTCCCATGTCCATGCAGGAATCTGCGGGCTAAGTGGGAAGGCCGTCAACAAGACACGCACCAAGCCGAAGCATCAGTAAAGACGAAGCAGGAGGAGCAGACCATGCACCGCCCTTAGTCGCTGCATCTCCGCCATAGCAGCCGGTATCGGTCTTGATCTAAGGAGTGAAGTCGTTCAGGACAAGAAGTAGACAGTTCCTTGTAGCCTCGAATACACACTTGCCTGCATGACTGGGTAGAGCAAACTGGCAGCAGGACTGCCTGACGGCGCGCCTGCGCAGCCTGAATGAGGGGGCGGCTGCACACTTTCGGTGCAATCTCAACCAGTATGACCAGAAGAAGCAAGAGTTCTCCCTTTCAAAGCTTGCCAAAGTCTTCCAGAACTATTGGAAAGACAATGAGAATCGTGCCAACCAAGAGGCCAGAATCCCAACATTGCCACTGATACTCGTACCATCGCTCATGCTGCCAGGTGCAAGAACGTAGTGATGCTGTCTATGAGCTTCTCCGCATCCCTGACAAGATCGCCATAGACGGGCAGCTGCGAGACGTTCAGGAGACAAGATGTGTAATTAAGCTTGCCAGGTCCATGCTGCATGCCGCAGCAGACATGCGTCTCAGCCTCCTAGGCTGCTTCGTTCTGCAGGATCTCGGCCGAGTGCCCAGGAAGCAGCGACGTATCCGCCAACCGCACCGGGACTTCGAGAAGCTTATGTACCAAGCTTTGGAAGCCCACAAGATCATGAAGCAGATGCTCTGCGACTCATCCAAAAGGGACCACAACGAAGTGGCCAGGTCGGGGCGGGATGTTAGACACAATTACTTGGAGTCCTTCGTCTAGAGTCTTAGAGTCCAGGTGGTGTCAATACGAGCCTGATGCCAATGGGCCTCCGAGCGTGCTGGCCATCGGTCTGCTGGACTTCCTGCAAGACAATCAGGTGCGCAGCCTTCGAGTCCTCTGAGCCTTGCATCACTTCGACTGATCGCACGAAGTTTGCAAGGCACTGGCGATCGATGCAGGACCTCGGGAGTTGCTGGTCACTTCGCATCCGAGTCCTACGAATTAGAAGACACCAGCTCCAGTAGTGCTGCCTGACTGGGCAGCGTCCAACTGCAGATTTGGTGCCAAGATGTACTATGTCCTGAATTTGAGTTCTTGCGACTTGGAGACTAACAAACAGCGTCCAGACTGGGGTTTAGCATATTGTGATGCTCTCAATCTGAATGGCAGGTTATTGGCAGGGGTTGAGATTACAAGTTATTGCTTGTTTGATTGAGGCGTGCAACCAAAATGCCGGGTCAATGTTCAGCCATCAAGTTGAGCAATATTGCCAATTCTTGCCACGGATGTGTAATTCTTTGAAACAGTTTACGCTCGGGTGATGATGTGCTGTATTTTCGCCGCCTCATGTGAGAGACACCCGACGCCGGTAGCTTGACACTCCGGCTCTGTACCGACTTACTCTGTGCATGCGACTTTCCTCGCAGGCGGGTGCAACCGGACACAACAGCAAAAGCCTTGCATGCGCCACCACCACAGACTGAATCTTAGGCCCAAGTACCTGCCCTCCACCATTAAATCGGTGATGAAATTGCGGGAACCTTGAAGCATTGAATATGCTAAACTCCGCTACGTCGACGTCGAGCTGCGAAATAGTAATAGTGTCCATTGCCCTGTAAGCCCACCGCAGCAAGCAGCTGCTTCGAGCTTCGCCGCATGCATTCGATCAAGCTCACTGCTTCAGGGCTTAAGACATCTTAAGACACAATGAGTGCAGGGCGACGTGGGTAGTCGCTCGTCTGCAGGACTCCGTCCTCGCGAAGAGCTGCTGGTGCAGGACAAGTACAAGTACTTCAAGCGCCACGATCGACGCACCAATTTGCCTCCCGACAGAAATAGCCCATCGCACCATCATCAACTGGCGAGTTTGTGCTGACGGGACCTTCCGTCCTGCGCTCGCGAAAACAAGGACCAAAATATTGAGGGACTGCTTTGTTTTGTGTTATACTGTACTACAGATGTCTACAACGAAATCACCCCTTTCAGTATGTTTTTGTCGGAACTCGCTCCAATGGGGGAAAGAGATAGGGACACTTCAACCGAGATCAAGTGTATTTATAACTCGATGCAGTCCTATCAGAAGTCGAAGCTGGAAACGAGGTTTGTGCTGCATGACACAGTCATATGAACCAGAGGTTTTATGACAGCATGAGGAAGATTCGCTGTCATGGTGGATGTGATCCAAACAAGATCCACAACATTGAGGGAGTCGGCCAGATAAGGCCATGGCCCCTTCGAGCTCGTACTCGTACTGCTTTGATAGAGCTATTCTGACGAAATTCGAGCGAGATCGAGAATTTCTGCCAGTACTAAACATGAACGAACGCGACATGGGGCATCGCGAAGAGATAACGCAAGTAGCTCGAACCGCAAATAAATGCGGCGGCTCAATATGGCAAGTCAGGGCTAGCAGTATTGGCACCGGTGAGGTCCTGCATCGTCTTGGAGTTCCCGGACGCTCGTTGTCTGCTTGCTGCACTGCAAGAGTTCCTGAAACGCGCGCAGCGGCTCTTCCTTTACCAGGCCTCCTTCTGGGGCCTTCTGGGGGACCTTCTCTCCTTGGGCTTAGGCGCACTCGTGCGATGCCAGGTTCGCAATCGCTTTCGTTCGGCCTCCGACCTTGGAGAGTACTGCATTGCCTTGAAGTTCCAGCTTCAGCTGAAGGACAGCATTGGGAAAGAGGGGTGTTTCAGGATGCGCCCGTGGCGAAGAACATGCTTCTGCCAGCATGCCAACTCTTGCACAGGACTCGTCAATCCACTACTCCGAGCTTCGCATGTGCTTGAGTGGTAAGTCCAAGAAGAACAACACAGTGCAGCAGTATCGTGATACCATGAAGAAGGTGGAAGAGATCTTGCAGAGCAGCTGTGATGTTCCTACCTCCGAGACGACTTTGGTGGCACAGTATCTCTCGACCATGCTGCGAAGCCGAAGCATTCACCATTCTGACATAATCTTCCTCCGCTGCAAAGACATCAACCTGGAGGCTGGGAGTTGCGGGAGCTGCTCCAATCGCTTTCATTTCCCTTGATGTTTTTTCAGGTGGACGGCGAGGAGGTCTTCGCCCAGTCGGCCGAGCTGACGAGCTGCCAACTCTTTGTCATTGAGCGAGAGGCCAGGGCTTTCCCTCGGAGTCCGCGTTGCTTCGCGCGAGCGCTTCTTGAGGCGGGTGACGGCGTGGTGAAGACTGGCGACCGGATTCGCTTGAAGTCCAAATTCACGCAGAAGTACTTGGATGCTTGGCTGTAGTGCCAGCCGCAAGAAATTGAAAGCGAAGCCTTGTCAAATCGTCTGCCGCTCGAGGATGTGCATGCCAGCGGGCATTTGAGATGTCGCCTGCCAGATTTTTCAGAGGCGCCATTGCAGAGCTCAGAGCCTTGAGTGCAGAAACACGGGAGCTGCAGGACTACGACATGACCTTCACAGTCGAAACAATCGGATGCAGAGACGACTATGCTCTTAGCCGTGTCATGTCAGCAGCATGCACGAGGGTTTGTGTGTTAGGCTGCTCGGGCACTGTCTAGGACTTTACTCTGTGCTCTTGCAACTGCTGCCGGCAAGCTAGAACGGTCCTTCGTCTCCATGTCTTACAGAGTTTAAGAAGATGTTTGGTCTCTTCAGAGGAGATGCAATCGAGGTTTTTGACGGTGTGTTGTTGAGACTATCAGTAGGAGGGAACTGATAGTCTTGCAGGTGCTTGCAGGCCTTGCAAGCCTTCATGGAGTGATTGCGCATCGCAGGGGCATGCCATATGCCGGCATAGATCTTGACAGGAAGACCACTGACAGACCACCCCATAATGGTATTCCACTCAAGGACGCTTCCAAGACCACTGACCTGAAGATCAAGGAAGACCGAACCAATGGCGGCCTGTTTGCGAGGACTCGCAAGACAAACTGCGACGGTACTTTGGCGAGAGCACGCAAGGGCCAACAGTCGCGACCTCAATTCGAGCACTGCGGCGAGAGCGTGAAGTCACGAGGAACAAACGGATATGGCGGAAGTGTTACTTCTGGAGGCGGCAAGACGAGAGACTGTGGTGGGAGTGTGGCAACTTTTCCGATGAAAGCGTGGCTAAGCCAACAAATGCCAAAGGCATTGTGACGAGAGCACGGGTTGCCGACTTTGGCAAAGCCGTTTACACCGGCACTGATATGGAATCCACGCTGAACCGCCCGAGAGGCCGAAGAGCGTGGCCCTTCATCTTCAGAGGCTTGGAACCAGGTGAGGTCCCAGATGTGGGCGGCACTGGGCGAGAGCGCAATTGATGGATTGAGACAGCTACTGCATGAAAGAGGGCCCGCCAATGTCACGGGGACTGACCTTTCAGTGGCCTCCCTGACGGGCGTTGTCACGCAGGGCTCGGAATGTTTTTTGCAGAACCTTTGCAGTCCTGCCGCTCTTTTGTCATCAAGAGATGCCGCATCCGATAGAAACTGTGATCGAGCAAGCCGTAGATGGTTGATGTTCGACCCAACCTCGACGAGTGTTTTTTGATGCTCCACCGAATCTGTTCTGGGCGATCCCTCCTCAGTCGGATGGTGAACGCCTTCTCATGTTTTTCTCATTGACTTGAAGAAGACGCTGACCAGCACCGTCTGTGCTGAACTTTGCCAAAGCTCTCCTTGGGTCTTCTGAGAATTTGGAGGAGCCAAGGATAGTTAAGCCGGCCGTCCAGTATAGAGACGTTCACTTATGTTTGGGTGCTGGCAAATCCGTCTGCAGCACCCAGGATCTCTGAAAGCCATACGTGCTGGACCACACGTGCCTGAAGGGATCCCTAGGTTCAAGATGCTACTCGTTACTTCGAACCCTGCCACAGCCTTCGCGAACCCTGACATTGCGAATTTGCAAAAGGCTTTCACATTTTGAAGTTGAAAGTTTTACCGAATGCAACCAAAAAACCCTTATGGACCAATACGGGGCACGTCCATACGGCGCGAGTTGGATGGAAGGATTCCACCCAGTCTGCGCCGTTTGCGTATGCCACAAACTTGTCTCTTGATCAAGTCCGGCACAGTGCTGCAAATCAGGTTGTGGAATGAAGGGCAGCTTGACCGAGTTCCGCAGTGTGCACACAGAAACGTCTCTGAGACTGAAGGCTCGGTGGGAAGCTTCGCCTGTGGTGTGATATTGCCTTTGCAACGTAGTGTTGACTCCAGGTCAGTGCCACCAATTTCGTGACAGTAAGGCAGGCATGGTGAGTCTGCTCAATTCGCTCTTTTCTGTTGCCTCAGTGATGACTGCGTCTCCTGTCTTTGGCTCCTTCGCAGCACCTGCCCTTGGTCAAATGCTAGGTCTCACATAGTGCAGTAATGCTCAGTATGGATTGCAAACAGGCAGGGTGCCAACTTCTTGACATCATTCGGCGAGAAGCTTTCCGTGAAGAGCGAGCCGAACGACGTTTTGATCTCAAGAATGCATATTGCAAGTGGTGGTGCTCGTTCACATATTGTCTGTTTCGCTACATGAGCAACTATGAGATGTGGCGCCGTGAGGTCGCACATGAGGCCGGCCAAGTCTTTACGATCTTCAGAGACGGTGCGTTGCTACTCGATTTTCATTCGACACACAGCGGGAGCCGTGCTGCCATCAGGACTTGTCGGCACCACTCGTAGATATTCTGTTAATGAGATGCATGTGTTTCATCTTGAGTAGTATCCAGCCAAACTTGACGTCCTCAACATGTTTAAAGTTTTTGCAAGCTGAATTGGCTGTTTGTTGATTCCTCTCAAATCGCAGGACATTGGCGCTCGAGACCTCCGACGAAATTCTTCAAAAGACAATGATGGAAGCCCACATGCGGACGGAGATTTCGAATGGGGACGTTGATGTTCAAGGGTCGTCCTTCCGAACTGTCCCGCCGGAATTCAAGACGATGATGTGGAGCATCGCTGGGCATTTCCGAAGCTTGGCGGACGTTGGACGCCCCTCCTGCCTCTGCGCCCTCATGCGCCACCCATGCACAGTTTCAACAGCCATTTGATTTGGAGGCCATGTTGGACACTCCAAGCATGCAGCCTCTCACGAGGCAGAGTTGCTCTTTTATGTTTTGTCGATCCGTTGATCGGCTCGCACGTCTCACAGTGCTTCGATGGTCTGTTTCTGCCGAAGCCCAACCTTGAGTGCTGGTAGGGGTAGAACCTATAGAACCTCGGTTGTTGCAGGCATCAAGTCTGCACAAGTTGTGGACGAGGGCCTCCAAGAATCTTGCAGCCATTCTGCGATGCCTTTTTGTCATGATGGAGTTCCCACAGTGCGTTGGTGGTCGGAGGTGGGCCAGCTGCTTTAGGCTCAGTTCTGTTCACGTCGAAAGGTAAGCCGGGCTCGGACTGCAGTCTCCTGACCTCCATGTTCATATCCGAAGCCGAGCAGCCTCGTGAGCTCACGCTTCGGTTAGGAACCGGATAGGGGACGGTTTGAAGCGCCAACTCCGAAACAGCAAGCATTCGCTGTCGATGCCGGATTGCAGCACTCAGGGTCAGTGCAACTGGGGTCTGACGTTCTGACCTTCACAAAATTGTGAAAAGATTGAGCACGAAGTGTGGTGGATGAGAATCCAGCTTCCGTGGATGCTACTATGACACTTTCGCTGCCCTTCGGCCTTTGGGGTCTGTATCGGTCCGCGTGAATTGACGCAGGTATGTCTTGGATACTTTTGCCACGCGAATGACGCAGCACTCCTCCCTGCCGAGGATCGAGAGCAGTGAGGGTAGGCTTAGGTCCTACATGGTTATCTTGGAAAACTGCACACGGTCAAACAGTGCAGTTCTCGCTCACCAGCGAGTTTTCCCAGATTCGCTGGCTTTCCAGGATCATTGCGCTAGTGTCAGCCGTGCAGCTCGTTCGTGACATTTCCGCAATCAAATGCTAGTGCTGGCTGTGTCTTTGCTTCTGAGTCGTTCTGAAGCACCCTCGCTCTTCTTGTGACAGTACGTTCATGCTCCGTCCCAGGAAAAGAGAAAATGCCTGACGGTGAGCTGGATTTGACTTGTGCGTTGCTGCCGAAGAAGTTCATGCGATTTTGTTCCGCTTTGTTGTCGAACCTCTGGGTTTGCCAGAAGCCGGATGAGGTTGAGGCGGGTGTGCCTAGCAAGATTCAACAACTCCGGCGAACACCCGGCTTTCCAACCTTGCAGGCAGTTTTCTCTGTGCCACGGGAACAAGAACGGCATGAAAGGGAGCTGGCAACGATCGATCGCGAAAGAATGCACTTGCTGAGTATGATGGGTTCCTACACCTGCGATATGGTGGCACGCAGGCTCGAAGTTGGCCTTCCAGCTTTACCATTCATGTCGGAGGTCCACTGCGATCTTCCGCGCACCAAGGTAAAGCCTATGCTGGACAAGTTGCGTGTAGCTGGACAGCGGCCTCTCAGTCGCGACGAGGCCCCATGGCACGACTAGTCGTGTCAATGCGACAGTTGCAGTAGCAGCATGAAGCCTTTTCCTTAGCTCTGCAGGCGAATTTTTCCCCAAACAGCGAAGTATT